GCTGACATTTTACTGTCAACAATTGATGAGATTGAAGCAAGCGATCGAAAAAACGGACAGAACTGATCAACAGAAAGGGCTCGTCTTCCGTCAGGACAATGCTAGACAACACACATTTTTGATGACTCGGCATAAACTGGGAGAGCTAAGCCGGAAAGTTTTGATTCATCCCCCATATAGCCTTGACCGTGCACCATTGGACTACTATTTGTTTCGGTCAATACAGAACTCCTTTAATGAAGTAAAGTTTGCTTCAAAAGAAACCAGTGAAAATTACTTAACGTTGAGAAACTATAAAAGTTTTACACTGATGAAATAGTCTCTCAAAAAAAATAATGGCAAGAAGTGATCGACCAAAATTGAACATATTTGGTTCATTAAAGTTCATACTAAATATAAACTACCCTATATTAAGCTCGATTGATTTTTTTTTAAGTTCAGTGAAAGACACTTTCTTTGTGACATTTCGAAAGACGTGTAGCCAACTTCAAGTAATATTCTTCAGCTGCGTTAGAACTGAAAAAATTACAATCAAGTATTGATTTAGAGCTTCCTCGTGGTTACTGAAAAAATACCTTCACTTCCCCCATCAAAGAGAGAAGGGTCGGATCTATTGACTTTAACATTTTTCATACTGAACTTTTTTAATTTATGAACACTTTATGAAACAAGGTCTTCAAGGAGAAGACTTCAAGAAAATTTTAACCTAAGTGAGCATTTCTTTTGCACTCAAAGGCTAATATAGTAAGCAAATCCTGTATGTGAACGTCGATTTGTTAGCGCTAAATTCCTATCTAGTCTTCAAGTAATTTTACAGTGATAATGGTTGGTGTGAACCGAATTCAGTGGTTCCTTATTTGTTTTTCATACTTTTTGTAAAGCCGAAGGGGATACATTCATTACATAATGATATAAGACTGCAATGGTTTTTTTACGCACGATGATATTATCTAAATTGTCACGGTTGTTAGTATTATACATTTAGTATTAAAAACATATACATTTTTGTATACCTATTTTAGTACCATTCATATGGTGTAAATAAAACTATAGTTTCACCTATAAAAAACGAAATGCTTATACCTAAAAATATTTTAAAAATATTATTTTTTAATGTTTCATATTTTTTACTCGCAAAATTGCAGTACTAGCATACATGCATTCCTTCAAACACGTGACTGCTACTTTTTTTCACCACACACTGTCGACAATTAATCAACGGCCTAAACACAACAATTACAACTGACATTCGCAGTCGATTATTTAAAATTAATTAACCTTTAAGCATTTTCGCTATTTGCCCACTTTTTATTGTTATCATCACTGGACGCATGCGCACAAATACTATTATATAAAACATACACACATACAAACACACTTCGTTGCGAATGCAGTCGCCCTGCCACATCATTTGTCCGCCGCTTGCCAAGTTGATTGAGTGATGTGTGTGTGGCTTGTGACGTCTGGAGCCTAAACAGTAAATGCAACTTTTCACTGCGAACTCTTCCTCGCCCCATCGCTTTCGTTAACTCCAAGTGCTGTTTGTTTGGCAAATGGGCTGTCAAAATGTGGACAGAGCGGCGGTGCATAGATGGGCTTGCATGCAATTTAGCTGAGCAGTGATGCCAATTAGTGAGGCGTTTTAGTTAGTAGCAAATTAAATTTTAATGTGGACGCTGCTGTGACAGTGGCATTGTTTGAAGGGGAACTCTAATACACATTTACATAGGGGTGGAATTTTTCATATGGTCTCAAAATATACAATTATCATTTAAAGCTTTGAAGGTATTCTGGGAAAAGTGCATATGAACTGTTAATTATTTTAGGAACATTTCCTTATGTAGTAAGATGGCGTCTACATGGTGACCCTTTTATCGCTCGACAGCGGTAAATTCCATTTGAGTGTCACTCTAAGTTCACACGAGCGGCACGAGTCCCTGAAATAGAGTTTTTATGACATTCTTTTTCACAACATTTTCGCAACTGTTTGTGCAGTTTGGCTAAGAGATACTTGGGCCTATCATCTTGCGCTAACTGTCGGTTTTGCGACAKGGACCCTGAAACCCCGGAGCACCTGCTAATCGACTGCATTGCAGTCTGTAGGCGCAGGTCGAAGGCCCTTGGAGCCATGTTTCCGGATAGGGATCACATCTCCTCGCTAGGACCCAGCAAAATACTGGACTTCGTCAATATGCTGGGGCTAAGCGAGTCCCTGTGAGTTAGGAGAGGGCACAATAGACCTAAGGTCGCAGTGCATTCCTCAGTTATTTATCTATCTATCTAAAAGATACTTAGAGCGTCTCACATTTTGCTATTATTATATTCAAGATCAGACTTTTAATTTTCTATTCTTTCAGAAAGGATATATTAAATATCCGTAATTTTTATTTTTCTCACAAAACATTCATGAATTAATTTCTTTTCTTTTTTAGTCAAATTATATAATAATACTAGCTAGCCCCGCAGGCGTTGTCTCGCGTGAAATTATGTGGTTTGAAGTGAAAAAAGTTTAATGTACTATATTTTGTGCTTAAATCATTTACTTGCGATTTTTCTAGATTTTTGTTTTTTCAATGTAGCGCAGCTTCAGAGACAATTTTTTTTGGTTTCTGTTCCGGTGCGTAAATGTAAAGAGAAGATGGATTTCGAACTTATAAACGCGCCACGTATAGCAGGCCGTGTGAAAAACATGACATCTCCAGATTTATGCTACACACTTCTAGCGAATATCCTTGTGTCCTGTTGATTGTCATTTCAAATGCAACTGTATAGGTTTGAACTGAAATAGCAACTGAAATGAAACGTTGAAACTCAAAGGAATTCGTAGAATCAGTCCTTATATTCGACAGCTGCGTCACAATCAGTTGGGTTCCATTACACAGTTTCGGCGCATGAAGATTGCGGAGCATAATAATGACAGATCCAAGCCTCTCCAAAGAATTTATAGAAACTCCCCTTTATAATTCACAGCTTCGCCTTCATTGTCAAGACGATCGGAATTTGCCCATTTCCAATTCTTAGCGAATACGATGCAAAATGTCTTCGGCAATGTAATTTTTGTTCGTATCACATAATTGACACAGATTTGAAGGCTGCTACGTTGAAATGATCATCGCGAAAAGTGTGCGAACTTCAGTGGCATGCGAAGTAGCTATCTCATCGTCTATCGTTTGATTCCAGCGATTGCACACACCGTACCATTCACAGTACGCAATTACTCAAACGGAGTGGAATCGCGTACATTAATCAATAGCAAGCGAAAGTAGAAGTAATCGTCATTTCTCGGGTGGATTGCGTAAATTTGTTCTATTGCATTAGTTGAGAACACACTTGAATGCCCGTCTACTAGTTGGCCTTGTTTTCTGTGCAAACATTTCTTCGACGATGCATTCTATGTATAATATCAAGGCATTTCCGAATAGCAATTTTCTCGCAAAGTCGATAAAATACTCGTCAATGTCAATTTTGTTGATGGTAGTGCTTCCGTTGACTGTACTCTATTCTCTGGGATGAAATACACAGTTTGACCTTCTCCAAATGAACTTCGAGATGCACAACAGTAGGAAAAGATTCATGAAATGTAAAAGTAAATCAATTTTATCTGGTGCAACCACCATCCACCAACCTAGCCTTCAAGATAAAGTCCATCAAACATCGTAGCTGTTGTTTCAAAAGTCGTGCTGTAATATCGTGATGATCGCTTGCTGATTAACAGCGATCCATAATTCCACACGTATGTCATTGCATCCTGACAGTACTCGTTCATATGACTTGGGCTGTCCATACGTTGACGGCAGAACGCCGACCGATATTAGCGCGATCTCTACGTGGCTTCGAAGCAAATTTGAACCTGTAATTAATTACTTTGTGTGAAATACACATAAAGTTTTCACTGTATAATTTTCAACAATTTTTCTTTTGAATAGCTGGAATAAAAAAACAAACGACCAAAATTGACCGATTCAAATAACTTAAAAATCAAAATATTGAAAAAAAAATGTTTGTGGAAAAAGTTAATTTTTGGAATTGTGCAATTCGGAGAATAGATAGTAGCCGATTCTCAGATCTACTGAATACGCATATAAAATTTGGTAAAAATCGGTAAAGCCATTTTGGAGGAGTACGGTACTAACATTGTGACATGGAAATTTTATATATTAGAATTATAATTTTATATAAATACGAAAAAGATAAGTATCTCCATACAAAAAGTAGATAACCAAATTCCAATTTCAGAAAATATGTTATTCATATGCTAATATTCACTTAAAATCATCGTTCCCTCGACCACAACTGAACTGGCACTAAAGAGCTCCCGTCTCCTTACACCAAGAAAACTAACTAATATATACTCTACTCTCACTTTTACTAGCCAAATTTATTAAAAATATCTCGTAAAAAAAACAGTTCCATGCAAGCTCTTGGTTTCGATCGTTTAATTTGTATGACAAATGAGCAGATTCTTAGTGAGAAAAAGATGAGTGCGAAATTTCAGATGCATAACTCAAAAGCTGAGCTGGACATGGCTAAATCGACTCAGCTCGCCATGCTGACCATAAATATGTATAAAAATATATTATACAGATTCTCCGACGCTTTCTTCAAGTTTTACAAACTAAATATACACTGTTCTATACTGAACGCGGAACTAAAAGTCCACTGTCGGGCATCAGCATCGTTCAATCTTGAGTTATGTTTCTTGTCTGGTCTGGCCTATTGCCGTTTAGCTTCAAAATATCACCGCTGAAACGCCGATTTCAATACTTATATGCTAACTTTACTTATAAGATATATAATATGTAGCCGGCATGGACTCGTTTTGTCATTCAAGATGTGACATCTAACAGCATTTTCTAAATTACTGCAGGAATGTTTTCTGCGGCTACAACACCAACAGCTAGCTTTATTAGAGCATATTCTCTGTGAGTCACACACAACTCACCCAAAAACTTAAATACCTCTCTTCACAAAAGTGAGAGCGACATCAAAAGTCATTTGCCTTTTCATCTCTTTCTAGCTCTCTTTTATTTGCACTAATAAATTTGCAGCAGATAATAACTTAAAAAAAATGTAATTCGTATAATTTTTAATAATTCATAGTATAGGTCACCACTGGCAAACGCATAGCTCAATATTTCAATGATAGCCGTTTCAAGCAGTTCTGCGTGGGGCGTATCATCATTTGCACGAACTTCAATGACTCATCTCTGTTTATGCCGATCCACACTATGCCCTCACCGCCATTCTTTTTTGTATAATCGCCATTCAAGTTGCTGTTAATGCACGCGCATGTAAATATTATTTTTTGTTCAAATATTTAGCATTATCACGCTATTACAACTCACCTCCAATAGCAACAGTTATACCACCAACCGCCGCGCCACTTCTTCGCGCAATTATCATCGTCCTTTTGATCATTATCACGATCATATGTGCTGAATTTACTGCCTTCGTGATTTTTGAAATAATCGCTTGCATCACCTTTGTAATCGCCCACTGTTTTTAGAAAATAGCCTTCCGCCTCGCTACCCACAACGAATAGACTATATCTCGCATAGTATTTCACACCGCTGAAGCTTTCCATTCGTATGTACAGCTCGTGTTCACAGCTTGTGGTGAGCGCATGCAACTTATCGAGCCCGATCCAATAGCTACCATCCAATTTGCCGAAACCGATCTTATAGTCCGTCCAGGTCCTATAGAAGTCTACCTCAGCGTTGACACGCCGCTGTATAACAGTCCAACCACCGAAATCGGAATCCTGATCACACCACACTCCAAAGGGAGTTTCGCTGAAGCGTTCAACTTTAATCTGATAAATGCCACTTTTAGATGTGGCGCTTGTAGCTTCCAAGCAGCTGCCGGGCATATTGGTTTTCGGTGTGCTATACAATAAAAATCAAAAAGAATTTTAGCTTTTTTCGAAATTATTTATACAACAACACTTTATTACGCTGTGATCACTTGGGTGCTCTCCTTTCGGTTGTAGATTTCCTCTACACGTTTCTCGAGTTTTTCCAGCTTTTCCAGAACCCGTTTTACAATATCAATATCAACATCGCAATTGCAGTCGAGAGATTCGACGGTTAAGTCCCCTTGTCCTGCGCATAGCTGAACACCTAATATTAGGCTCACAAGCAGAGCGATAAATTTTGCAAGCAACATATTTTTAGCGGTATTCAATGCAACCATTTGCCCCTGAGAAGGTTCAGAATAAAACTATGCTTCCCAGAAGCTTGGGAACTTCGGTGGAGCTCAAACATTTGCTGATAATACAGTAAACAAAGCTTAAGTTGTTGTTAAAAATGTTCTTATGTGTGTTTATAATATGTGAGATTTTATTGTTTTTTAGGCCGGACTTCCACGCCAGTTCGAACACCGTGCTTTGATATCAATCTTTGCGGACTTCTCGTAAGCGCTGAAGATCACCCAGAAACAGCTGTTTGGCAATCATAAGCAGCTGCTTTTTATATATATAGCTTAGGACCATCCAGTTTCACTTTGGTATGGATTTGAACACACGACGACAAAACGTTTGCTATGTACGAAGTCGACTCGCCCGCAAAGATCATCACTGAGCAGGTTCCGCAAGTGTGAGCTTGTATGTATGCGACTGCGATAAGCATACATTAATAGCGATGAAGAAATCGCAAGCGACGCTCGCACTTAATACAGCCTTGTCCCGACTTTTGCACATGTTCCTAATCAATAAATTACTCTAAAATGCTTTCTGGGAATTAAAAAAGAAATTGAGAACTTGCGATAACGCTGTTCCAGAATTTGGCTTTGCATCAGCATCTTAATAATAACGGGTGTTAACAAAACATAAATAGTTTGAACTTATTAAACTGAAATTGAATGACGGAAGTAAGCAGCAATATTAGTACTCCATTTGCATTGGAACAATTCATTTAAATATTTTACAAACACTCTATTAATATTACCATTATGCGGCCGTATATCGGCAATAACGCGCCGAATATTCTCTTCAAGTTGTTAATCGTTTCGGGCTTACCAGCTCAGATAAGCAACTTCACATAAACACACAAGCAATATTCCAGCGGAGTTAAATCGCACTAGTGGAGGGTAGTGTATTCTCCGAAAACTAAATACCAAAATCGCCTTCTGTCAACGAGATGACTGCAGTGTCTTCCAATATCACAGCAATTCAAGAAAGCCTTCTTATTCTCACAAGGAGTGTGCTCTCAATGATGAATATATCTATACATACGTATATACACATAAGCGGACGGCTTTAAGATAAGTATCTTAGGGATCCGCCTAAGTTAGTGAAAGAATGCCTTGATCTCTTAGTGGATCTAATGTACTTTTTCACTATAACCCTAGCCAGAACAGGCACCACTATTAGACTACGGAAATAAGGGAATTTGTATTCCTTAGGCTACAAATATGTCATAAATTTAACTGAGTCTCGGTGGAGTCAATCCCTGGATTGCTCAAAAAACTGCAAAACGTCGCATGAATGGAATATTTATCGCACATGCTGACAATTAAACTTTAAAAAGAATGATATAAGAGCTCTAGTAGGAGAACTAACAGGTCCTGTCCAATAGACAGACTTACCATTGGACTATTAACGCTTTATAATGAACAAACATCTTCTAAGCGATTGTAAAGCTCAACAAGTATATAGGAAAAGAATCGCAATTAATATTCGAGGGTTTATTGACGACGCCTTGGAGGTTGATCAGATAAAACTTTTGATGAACTTCATCAGAAGCTCGGATTGGAATCTATAGAAAGAGGGACTTTAGTAACGTTGGTAACACAATAGTCCTACTAAAGACCCAGGCGCATCGTGAGACAGCCACTCTACCTACATACCTACACTAAAAAAGGGTTTAATAAATGTAAGAATTTCTGCTGGAGATATTTGTGGGGACAGTGAACTCCTTCTAGCAAACATTGTAGTAAGTTCAATATACCTTGACTCAGTAGAATTTAAATAAAAATATTATCGTCTAACTTTAAAAATCACCTGCTTATCGAACCGCCCGCAAGTATTTTCATTCTCTTGTTTTTCAACATTTGGTTACCCAAAACCAAAATATTCAAATTGCGAACAAGCAAACCAAATTAAAATTAGTTTTGCTTTCAAAACACCACTGCCATCATAATTCTATTTGTTGTTGCTATTCGCTGCTTTCATTTTTGGTACAAAGGACATACACACATCCATTCGCATGTGCGATTATCTGAGAGAACGTGCATGGCTAAGCAACTTGTCATCAACTAAGCATTACATAATGACCTAAACAGGCACAGGTAAGTACCAACATACCCGTGTATAAAGGTGTATGCCAGTATGTAACTTTGCATATGTGTGTGTGGGTAAATTTCTTAAGCAAAGCCTCTTTCACTTTCCATGGCAGCGAGACAGTGGCCAAGCAATGTCCTGCGTGGCCTCTACATTGCTGCAAGTATTCGTAGAGAGAGATCATAGAGTGAAGTATGTACACAATCAACAAAAACAAAAAAAGAAACAACAACAACATCAGACAACTAAAAAACATTTTTCATTATTGTGTAAGCAACTTAATTACTCCAGACGTTGGCCAAAGCCAAGCTCTCTGGCTGTGGTCGGTATCGACTTGAGCCAGCAACAACTTTGTCGCCAAAGCCGTGTCTGCCGGTATGCGCTGCAACACGGTCAACACGCCGCCCCGGAGGCTGCCACAGCATTGGCCGTGTGCCTTGATTGTGTTTGCTTATCGGCGGCCGAGGTAACATCTTTAGGAATTTCGTTGCTTGCAATTAGCGGCGACACACACATACACCACATTTACATAAACACAGAGCAGCAGAGATTTCTAGGTGTTTGTGCTCTTATCGCTTATTGCAGTTGCTCCCAAATATGTTTGTATATATGTATATCTGTGTAATTGTGCTTTGTTGTAGCTTCTTTGGTAGCATTGTTTAGCTGTCGGTAATTAGCTGTTAACATTCACCGTGTTTCTTGTTGCTTATTTGCCTGCTGCGCAATGTAGCGTATATGGCAAGTGCCTCAAGTGTGCGGTAAGTGTGACAAGACAATGCGGAAGAGCTTGGACCACAGGTTTGTTTGCAAATACCTAAAGTACCTGTTTGTATGTTAGTAAGTATGAAAAGGGTAATAAAAAAAAAAAGAAATTTTGCAAGTTACTCTTTCGAAAAGGCTAAAAAAAACTCTTTGGTTGCTAGACATTCCTTTGAAACAATAAATCACAGATTTAGGTTTTGCATTTCCGCAATTTTTCATGCCCAAAAGGCACATTTCACTCCTTAATTTTCTCCGAAATTTCCGAAATCCTTGTTTAGTGCCAAAAACTTCAAAAATTAATTTTTATGGGAGAGAATCCCAAGCAGTCACCGGAGCTAATGTTTAAATGCAAATAAAATTTACATACAAAATTTCTTTAACCAAAATTGAGAAGAGGGGCACTATATACAGATAACTTAAGTTCGGCTGTACCGAGGCTAGCCAACGGTAGACTTTCGGCTTTGCTAGTTCTTTTAGCCACGTTTTTTGATAACAACAAACTTGAAAGCGAATTGAAGTTACTTAATAAGGAATTAGATTTCCACCTCACCCCTTTTCCACTCTTTTCTGAAATGGAAGGCAATATTGGAGATCGGGTTTGAATTCAACCCTGTAGGATGTCGATAATCCGAAAAAAATGGTAACTTGTTATTAGCGACTAGGGATTCTCTCAATCTAGGATCTGACGTCGCTGCCATTGAATTACAGAAAATTTCTACTTTACACAAGTGGCAATATTTCTTTTCGGAGTTGGTTTTTTTTTAACAGCTGTTACTTGATTTATACTCATAAGGAATGATGAGTGCAGCCGCCATTGCACGGAACAATTGGAGCTGTGCTTGTCTACTTTGTCCAAGATTTTGTGGAAGGATTTTGGTTTGTGAGTATGCAAATGCATAGGTGGAAATCGAACGACCATTAAATGCGTTGAAGGTTCAGTGAACGGGCTCAAAACAAGATGGCCTCCACTGCTGATTTTCGCAAGAAAATTTTGTTCAGCGATGAAACTCACCTTTTCTGGAAGCATTGGTGCATGTTCCTTCAAAAATGAAGCCGACTATAATGTTACAGTCAATGGGGAACGCCCTAGAGCCATGTTAAATCAATTGAATGTCTGAATTGGAGACTGATGGTGTGGACGACCTTTGGTTCCAACAAAACAGCTCTACATGCCATAGAGCCAATGAAATCATCTATTTATTAAAAATGTTTGGTGAGTGTGCGGCATGACCTACAAGATCGTGCAAAAAAATTTATTTTTCGTTGACTTACAAAAATTTTCTTCTTTTCGCTGGTGTCACCGAAAATTCGGAAGCTTCATTATTTTCATGGTCCAAGATCAATTTTAAGCTATCAGCGGCTGTTAGTTGATACTCGTAAGTGTGAGTAATGTGCTAATCGCTGCCGTTCGCAACCTTTGTTTTTCAGTTGCAAGAAACAACACTAACAATAGCAGCAATTGCAGCACATTGAACTCAGTGACTGACTGGTGAAAGAAGAACCAACCAAACATACTCGCGATCTAACACATATGTAAGCACTCTATATGTATGTAAATGTCTACCTGATTTGTTGATGTGTGTCTAGGTGAATGCACCGCTATCTTAGACATTGCCAACTCTTATTTTCATCTGCCGAACAGCATTTACGATCGCTCCAAAGCCAAAACTTCGGAAAAAATTTACGACTTTCCACAAATCACGATGGCTACTGGCTTTCTTCCCAGCTGTCTGGCGATGCATTGGCTTGTCTTTCTCGCTGATAATTCGCTCGTTGGAATACTCCGACTCTGGCATGGTGATGGACATCCTCACGATTTGCTTACACTTGGAGCGGTAACGACCACGTGTGTTACTTTCGGGGCATGGGGGAACTACAACAAACGGTGTTGCTGAACGATTCTTCTTCTTCTTTCTTGTTTTGGTTTATAAAATTCATGAAAATTACTGCGTTGGCGGCGTAAGTGATTGCGATCCTTTATATGTTGAAGGTGATGGCACAGTGCTTCACAATTGACGAATCCTGAAAAGACGTGAAAAGAGGTAGAGATATCATGATGATAAAGGTAAAGATAAAGATAAAGATAAAGACAAAGATAAAGATAAAGATAAAGATAAAGATAAAGATAAAGATAAAGATAAAGATAAAGATAAAGATAAAGATA